AGCACGGGCACTTTTCAACAATTTCCATACTTAGCTCAAATTTTCAACACCTCACCAAATTTTCAATCAAATCTCGTCCTTGAAACCCGCTTTCAACCTCAAAAATCATGCGTGTCGTGCGGCTCGTGGAGCTATTTATTCTTGAACAAAAACAAAAAACCGAAAAACGCTAAAACCGTGGGTTGCCCCCACGAAGCGCTCATTTTACGTCTTGAGCTCGACGTTCCCAACTAAAATCAACCGGGATCCAAGAAAAAATGTCGATCATGCCACGCCTTTGTATTTTCCAAGAGAAGCCGATCCGATAGCACGGAACAAAGGCGGGCAAAGTAAGCTCTCGTGGCCGCGTTCTTGTGAAACCGAGCATGGATTTCGACAACCAACAAGTGGAGAGATAAATCTTTACGCATCACGGCCCCATAGTCGACCTCCAAAAATATGAATTTATCCGTGGAGCACATTGAATCAATCCCGGGCATCGTTTGCACTATCTCGAACGTGTACTCATCAAGCTCAAGCATCGGGAGCACGGGCGTAGGCACACTAAACTCTTCCAAATGATCACGATCCTCAATAATACGAAACGACGCCCCAAAGGACATGGGAACCACCTTATCCTCAACATCCCAAGGCATGTCATCCACACACGGCAAATCCGGCTCAACAACATCTAAATGCTTGGATTCCTTCTCACTACCATCATCATCCTCCTCCACATCATCACCAACACCTTCATTACCCCTCGGCTCACTCAAACCCTCAATTAAATTATCTCCCAATCCATCCTCAACATCAACTTCCGAATCCATACTCTCCTCCTCAATAATCGAATCAAAATCCGAAATACCATCAACGGAAGAAGATTTTGACGTACCTCGTATAGAATCCAAGTCCACGCCATCACAAAGAGGAAGTTCTTCGACAATAAGCTCATCGATGTCCTCACTAGTGTCTAAAGGTTGAGTCTCATCATACACGGGAGTGAGGCCCTTCTCTTTCAAGGAAGCACAACGATCCACCATAACCCTAAATTCGCTCTCTAATCGAGTGCTCTCTCGAATAATCTTCGCCGATAGAGTAGAATATCTACCGAGCGGAATAGAAGATGAATCCAAGTCAAGAAAAGATACCACGGTGGAGTCGAACTTCTCAAGTGTAGCACGGAGAGCGGATGAAATCGGGATGCACCTCCAACTATTGAACTCCTCGATGATCGACGCGAGGCTCGCGAGTGCGTCTTGAGTTCTCGCCAAAACTTCTTGGTGACGATCGATCGGGCCAACCTCGGAATGAAATGAAGCTCCAAGACTAGATGAACGAGTTTGGCCAACCGATGGGTGCTCAAATGCCGGAGAGGGAGAAGTGAAGGATTCGGTTTCTTCTTTTTCAGATAAAGAGGCCAATGAAGCACGAAGGGATTGAGCGTCCTCCTCCAAATTTGCCACGATCTTTTCTAATTCGGTTGAAGGGGCCCGAGTCGACTCGGGTGGAGGCATAACATCATAAGAACCGAGAGATGGAAGATAGTAGAGAGGCGTCTCGTCATAAGCCGGATAATGATCATAATATTGTGGAATAAGGGTGGCTCGGGCCAAGTGAGTTCATCTCCATTTGAAAATTGTCGGGGTATCCACGAAATGAGCTCCCGGCATAATAGTGAGAATAGGGATCCATCCGGGCTCCTCAAGCGTAATACCTCGCACAAGAACAAGAAAAACAACCCAAGGCACACAAGGCAAGAGAGAGAATAACAAAAAGCGAATCTAAAAACACATAATATTTACACGGGCACGAAAGCAAAAGCAAGAGAAATGGAAAATAAGCAAATAATCAAGAGAAACACGCAAAAACGAGCAAAGAGCACGAAACGGAAGAGAAACACGGAAACAAACAACAACTAGATAGCAAACTTGGCGTCCTACTCGCCTTCCCCGGCAACGGCGCCATTTTGTTTGTAGTATTTTTTGGGCATGTGGTAACCGAGCTACCCGACTCGGGTCGTTCTCAAAGGAAGGCTATTCGGAGCTTCGTTTACTACCTAGTCGTCAAAGTCACACAACCGAAAACAAGGTCCTAAACATGCTACTCGCTTGATTGAGGGATGATTGCATGCACTTGAACTACGAATCTAAGGGCGAATTATGGAAAATGCAAATATAGAGAAAAAGATCGAAACTTTAGTCTACCGGAATCCCCATGACTCAAGAAAAAGAAAAATAACAAGAGAACTCATGCAAGTATAGTGATCCTAGGTCTTCTAACACGAGCTTTCTACACTAAATCATTATGCTTTGAGCAAAGTCGAAATCTTTCTAGATAAGCACATATCGAATCCTAACACACCAAAGCAAGCAATGAAAATAGAGCGAAAACCTAGAATCGAGCATCAACACAAAATTGCTATCGCATGCGTAGACGAAAATAGTGCGTAAAACTCGAATCTTGATCGAAAATAAAGTTGCCGGAATTTCACCGGAAAAATCAAGTCATGAGTCTCCAACCAAAGCATAAAAAAATAAAAGAGAGAAAATGGAGAGGATTTCCCAACTTAAAAGTTGGGAATGAGGGTTGTGTTTTAAAATTACAAAGCACAATGTCTATTTATAGCTACACCACAAACACACACTAGAAACACACACATTTAATGAAATTCTGCAGTTCGCAGGTCTCGAAATGGACTTCGCAGCGAGTTTGGACATGAAAATCAACTGGAAATGTGCTTTCGCAGGTCGCCAAATCAGTTTCGCAGCGAGTTTGGTGATGTGGCTGTTGGGATATGAGGTTGGCAGCTTGCGAAAAGGATTTCGCAGCGAGTGTGACTTTTCACTTATGTAAACTTGTGTTTGGCAGCTCGCGAACTCAATTTCGCAGCGAGTTTTAGGCTGCCTTTGGGCGCGATTCGTGTCTCGGAAATGGCTCGGAATGACTCGGAAGTGGTCTGGATGACTCAGATAAGGTTCGAACATGTCTCGAAAATGGCACAAATGACTCGTCTTCCCGGAATCGTGATATGGACCTACACAACACACCAAAGAGACGCGAAAACATGGAAAAATACCAAAACACATAACGATAGCAAAAACACATAAAATACGATAAAATGGACCGGTTGACACTCAAACTAACCTAAAAATGACTCGACTCAAGCACATAAAACACAATAAAATACCACAAAAACATAACAAACAACTAGATCGACATAGGACCACATAAATCAGAATGAATCAATCATAGCACTTCTTGGCTCCTATATCCCTTTGTCGAAAATGGCCTCTTGGTCATCTTACCTTACAGGCATTATTCGCAAGTTAGATAGTGATCTTCCAATGGACCGAGAAGTCCACTGGCCTCTAACTTTTGAATCCTCGAAACATTGATGTGCCTAAGTCTAAGGTGCCAATGATATGCTTGATTCATACTTGAAGATTCCTTTCTCTTATTAGATTTAATCGTGATATTATTCAATTCAGTTTGTTGTAGTGTGGGAGAGTTTGGTTTGAGAACATACAAATTGTCAACTAATGAAACAGAACAAATAAAACCAAACCACATACAAATTGTTAACTAATGAAACAGAACAAATAAAACGCTTTTCATAACGGATAATAAGCATACCATCAAACGTAAATGAAAAACCATCCATAACGATTTTATAAACTGAAACAAGATTCTTTCTAAAAGTAGAAACATAAAAGCAATATCTCAAAACCAAAATACTACAATTAAAAGATAAAGTAACGTCTCCCACTACAACAACTGTCACTTTCATAGTATCGCCCATGTAGACGGTGAACTCTCCTCCCTAAGCCGTCTGGTTTCCTGGAACCCTTGCAAAGAATTGCAGACATGATAAGTGGCTCAAGTATCTATACCAGGTTCTGGTAGATACAACCGCTAAACATGTTTCTACGACATTAACGGAAGAGTTACCTTTCTTGAGGAGAGGGCAGTCGACCTTCCCGTTTCTTGACTTGTTGCACTTATGGTATATACCTTTCGGCTTCTTTGCCACAGCTTGAGGGGGCGGTCGCTGGACCACCGGGGCATCCTGCACCTTTGCCTTTCCTGCAAACTTCTTTATCTTCCTACCCTTGTAAGGCCTGAAAGTTCCAGCCTGCTCGGCAACCAATGCGTGAGGCACCTGAGTGAATAAGGCCTCCACCGACTGAAGCTCTGCAAGTAGTTCTGGAAGAGCCATATGCATATTGTGCATGTTGTAGTTCAACCGGAACTGATCAAAGCTCTTCGGCAGATATTGGAGCATAATATCAACCTGGGTTTCTCTGTCGATAAAACCTCCCATAAACCTCAAGCTCGTTTGACAACGCAATTATTTTGAGGGCGAGCTCCCTTATGGGTGTGCCCTCAGCCATGCGCGTAGTCATCAGAGCACTCATAGCCACTTATCTAGCAGCCCTTGACTGGTGTCCGAACAGATTCCTGAGATTGAGGAGTATATCTGCCGCAGTGTTCTTAGTCTGATGCTGATGTTGAAGAATATTTGACATAGATGTCAAAATGTAACACTTCACCATTGCATCAGCCTTCTTCCACTGAGAATACTCCTCTTTCTCCTGCCCAGGAGCATCAGCCGCGGGCTCTACTGGGCAAGCCTCAGAAATTGCAAACTTATAACCCTCAGCAGTCAACACAATGTCTAAGTTCCTCTTTCAATCAGTATAATTAGGGTCAGTAAGTTGATTTTCTTTTAGAATAACAGATAACGAATTGAAATACATGATGAATATAGCCTGACAAACACGAAAATAATTTTACAGATTAAACACTTTTGAATTTAACTGTTAACATTGACATCCTCAAAATAATATTAAGTAAAATTCATCGACATCTCAAAACACCGAGAGTTAATGCATGATACGAGGGTAACCCTACATAACTCAACATTCGCATGAGAAGGGCTTTCAAAGGCCCATTAATTTCTATAAGTCATATCAACTTCATGACGAACAAAATTAATAGTCGGTATTGTAGCAAATTTCATTTATATTTTATCGAGCACTGAATTGAAAATTCGAATCCCGAGTCGATCTCAAGTAAGATTTAGCCGGAATAAATTGTGTACTCATTTGATTACCAAAATAAACAAAACAATTTCCTAAACATTCTAATCATATTCATGTGGAGTTTTACTATCTACTAATTTATTAATTTAACTAATAAACATAAAATTATAATTAAAGTAGTAAACAAATTCAATAAGTATAAAAATCTTAAAGATCATAAGAATATAAAGATGATAAAAGTGTTAGGGAATTGGGAAATAATTGTTTTCAATTATATTGATAAGTCCAAATTATTTATTGTTCGATTAAGTGATTCGATAAACACATCACTTTAGAGGTTTATATTCAATAACTTTTCATAACAAGAATATAAACATAAATTAATATATTTTCGTACCAAATAATACATAAGCAATACAATAACGAACAAGCTTACTCGTTTCAAGCGATCAATTAACTTCTCCCCTCTCGGTTTTAAAATTAATTAAGTAAATTTAGAAGGTGTTTAACAAACCAAACCTTAAAAATAAGTGTAACTCGAAATGATATGAACAATCAACAACATGTCATCATCATCGAACTGAAACAATCATTTCCATATCCTTAACGGGATAGGTTTAGTTTGTCATAATTTTATTGACACAAACAACAATAATAACCCAAGCTATCATCGTACTTACGATAAAATAATGATAACTTACGATTATTATTGAAAACTTGATGTCAATATATCACTAGAACTTCAACAAGATATAGAAATATCACTTACAAGATCATGAAAAATCATACATGAGAATAAATTCTCATAAATGATGAAGAACTTTCAAAAGAAAAAGCGAGTATATTTACAAGATTTTTAACTATTATTAAATTATGAAATTGTTCCCTTTACATGCATGAATCACCTCCATTTATAGCTGAGGATTTAGAGTAAAATATAGATAGAAATTAGCTATATGTAAGACTTAATCATCATCACAATTACACTCCATCATCTTTCATTTTAAAATAACAAACAGCTGCAGAAATCCGCCCCTTAGCTCTGCTAAGGGGTACTAGCGGTGCTAAGGTGTTGATCCGCGGAAGGTGTAGCGCGCGCTAAGGGTTAGCGGGGCTAAGGTGTCGGTTTTGCACGTTTTTGCCATTTTTGCTCGTTCGTGCTCGTTTTAACTCGGAATTGAGTTCCGTCTTTTCCTGTGCGTCACGAACCCCTCTTTCCAATGATATGATCATGAACAATAAATTTTCAAAATCCTGTTGTTCCGAGGTTTTCGACCTATGCATCTTTATTCAAAATAAAGCGAAAAAAATACTAGAAAAATATACAGAAACATAAACATTATTTTAAATATTACAAATCACACAATAAATGATAAAAGTACACTAGAACCTATAAAATGGCTCAAAATGAGGGTGAAAGAATAACGAAATAATAACTAAAAACGTAATAAAAATAGGACAAACAACTCCCCCACACTTGAACCTTTGTTCGTCCCGAACAAAAATAGAAAGGA